AGATGATGCAGGGTAGACAGGCTGTGAAAAAGGGAAAATAATATAAAAAGACACCTGCATGAGATGCTGTGTTCTGTCTTCCTCCCCTGTACCGTTTCACTGGGTGAAAGCACCTGGACTGATCTTCTGACAGGTAAAGACCGTGATGTAAAAAGTGCAGGTGACCAGTGAAATAAAAAAAAGGAAGAGATAACGAAGCAGCTAATTCCAGAATGAGATTAGGAAGGATTAGCCTGTCTCGCACCAATCCCCCAACAAACAGACTCATGTCCTGGGTGCATAACAGAGAATATTGTTGTGCAGCGGCCGCCGACTCTCCTCCCTGTGGCCGACAATGCTCTCACAGCTGCCAGGCAGGCTTTGAAGATTAACTTGCAAAGAACCGTCTTGAGGACAGTGGTGTTTATGAGTGCTACATGCTTTGTGTTCAGTAATTTCTCTTGTCACTGTCCTGGTTGCAGATGCAGAGAAGTTCAACGAAATAAAATAAATAGACTAAGCTCTACGCAGGCTGAAAGGTCTGAGGATTAAGACTGGGGAAAAGGGCAGAGCAAAACTTGGTGAGAACGCCTGTCTCCACCCTGGTAACAGGGGTTTTGGGAGCTGAGGAAAACACAGAGCTTCAAGGAACTGTAAGTAGGAGAGAAAGTAATCATGGAAACTCATGTTCATCCAGTGGGTAATGACTAGAAGAATGTGCAGCAGCTTCTTAGTGCAACTTCAGTAGTGACATGATGAGTTGGCCTAGTTTCCTTTCTTTCAAAATGAGCATAATGGGATTTTTTAGCTGCTACAGAACACAGCTGTCCTCAGGGACGTTTTATACATTAACGCATTCATTAAGAAGGGATGTACACTGATCTCAATTTGTTCTGAACGGATTTTTCATTAGTTTCATTTTGAATCAGTGAAGTTGTAGAGTCTCCCTAGACACCGTTGCCAGCTGTATTTTCAGGAAGAGGCTAGATTAGGCAATGGGATGTTTGCTCCTCCTAAATTTGTCAGTGGGTCAGTACAACCCAATTCCTGTTAAGAACATGGCTATTATTTTAATTTATTTTTTTTTTTTAATTAAGAATATTGCTATTATTAGTCCTGTGAGGAGCAGGGAGTTGGACTTGATGGTCCTGGGGATCTTGCTGCCCAGGGCAGTCCCCATCCCGGGAGGTATTTAAAAGCCAGGCAGATGTGGTGCTGAGGGACTTGAGTTAATCACAGAATCTTCATGGTTGGAAGGGACCTTTGAGATCATCGAGTCCAACCATAAAGTTAGTGATGGGTTTTGTCAGGTTTGTGGGCTGATGGTTGAACTCAATGATCTGAAAGGTCCCTTCCAACCTGGGCAATTCTATGATTCTGTTGATTGCCTTACTCCTTGATTCTATCTTTATAGATCCCTTCCAACTTTATATACATATATATAAGGAATGCTGCCAATATCAATGGCATTGTAATACAAAATTCAGCCCATTTTTTTTTTTACAACATAAAATAAGATTATAAGAGTCTTCCATGTGGGAAATCCTTAGGGTTCTCTTCAGATACACAGAGGCTTGACTTGATGACAGCATTCATTAAACTATACTTGGGGAGATCACAGATTTATTTAATAGTAGAGGAAGAACTGCAGTTTCATTCTTTTAAAGTTACAGTCTAGGGAAGATACATGTTTTGACCCAGAATATGTTTTTTTTTTTTAAATACAAGAAAGCATTTAGGAGGGGTACAGTTATGCCCAATTTTTGACATAGGCAAAATGTTAGAAGTTCAGTGTTTCTGAAGGATTGGGAAGGGAGGCAGACTTCATTGGTCTGGGAAGGGGTTATGGCTTTGAGAACAGGCACGTCTGGGGTCACGGAGAGGCTCTGGAGATATATTGGCGTGACAGAAACCTGCCATCTGAGTCCAGCAGCCGGTTCCAAGTCTCTAGAAGTGGCACCAGGTGAGGTGAGGAGCCGTAGGGTTCAGCAAAATACGATGGCAGAGCGTGTGGGGGAGAGCTCCTTCCAGCGCATCCCTCTTCCCTTTCCACTACTTCATCTGCTACAGGCACAGAACTCCTCCTCCCTTTTCTTGGCAGAGAAGCCCCAGCTGGAAAGGAAAATGTCATTCTTTGCTCTCCTCATTTTTGCTAAGATGATGCAGGGTAGACAGGCTGTGAAAAAGGGAAAATAATATAAAAAGACACCTGCATGAGATGCTGTGTTCTGTCTTCCTCCCCTGTACCGTTTCACTGGGTGAAAGCACCTGGACTGATCTTCTGACAGGTAAAGACCGTGATGTAAAAAGTGCAGGTGACCAGTGAAATAAAAAAAAGGAAGAGATAACGAAGCAGCTAATTCCAGAATGAGATTAGGAAGGATTAGCCTGTCTCGCACCAATCCCCCAACAAACAGACTCATGTCCTGGGTGCATAACAGAGAATATTGTTGTGCAGCGGCCGCCGACTCTCCTCCCTGTGGCCGACAATGCTCTCACAGCTGCCAGGCAGGCTTTGAAGATTAACTTGCAAAGAACCTCTGTCTTCAAATGATTACTTTAAACAATTCACTTCAGGAAGCGTTGCTGTGATCTCTTAAGAAGGGGGTCGTTTCTCCAACTTGTGCTTGTGTCTGAATTACTCTCTCTGTGCTCTAGAGAAGAGTTGGATAAGGAAAGATGGGTTTGTTGGTTCCCTGGTGACAACAGCTCCAAGGTGGAGGTACAGGGGTGTCCAGAGGGACTCCTGGGGCATTTGGCTTATTTTGTAATTAGTCTCATTGGGAGCAATGTGATGCTTAGATCAGATGCAAACTTGGACAGTCTTCTGTAGAGCGGGGAAGATAAAATATCTAATTTGTTTGTCTCTGCATCTACCTGCCTGGGGGTTTCTGAGTTACGTATTTTGTATTTATACAAATAATAATGCCATCTCCTGAACAGAACACACCTGAGGAGGCTCTCTGTGCTGCTGGGAAAGCATCCCTGCTCATCCCCCTTCCTTACGCCTTGGCTGAAGCCAGCGAGCACAGAAAAAAATCCTTAGAACTAGCCCAAATTAATGGTGATCAATTATAGTAAATGACGTCAGGTTGATTGAGGCATTTGGAACAGACAGGACATAGCAATTTACAGTGGGTGCATTTAGGGAGAGGACCCACAGCCTCACTTCCCAACAAGGTATGGGCGAAGGCAGCACACAGAGTAGGGCTTGCGAATTAATTACTAACTGATAAGTAACTCCAATCAGCCTTAAAGTCGGCATTTTTCCAACGTTAGCATTTCTGTTAAGGGGCAATGCGCTTACGCAGCACCAAGAACAGCAGATAAAATATTAAAAACTATAATTCCAGTCCCAAGAGTAGTGTAGCTGGAGCGGGTGCTGTGTAGGTCTGCAGGAGTCCCAGTGCTTTTCATGGAATACACTGGGAATATGGGAGAAAGGGCTGTTTCTTTCCCACCGAGCCCATTCGGGGGGAGGTTTGGGGTTTCTGTGCAGAGAAGTGGGCAAGTTGCATTTCGGGAGGTGGGAGGCTCAGTGCTTCAAAAAACATTTCCAGTACTACTGCTGCCTTTTTTTTTTTTCTTTTTTAAATTTAAAATCTTGGCCAAAACTGGTCATTACGTTTCTTCCTCGAGTGAGATTATTTTTTCTTGCTCTGTTGGGATTGCAGGCTTGAAAAACATTCAGTGGGTGCAGGCAGGGAAGGTGTTGGCGCGTTGAGAATGGCCTCTGTGTGCAGGGAGCTGGAGCGCTGGAGAGGGGTGGCAGGAGAGGAGTCCTTCCTGCCTCGTGCTGCCGGGCACACAGGGAGAGAGGCTCCTCTGCTCCTGAGCCACAAAACCACCTTGTTTAGGAAGGGAAGCGATGGCCAAACCAAAGGTGCTGGTGGGTTCTCTGCAGGGATCTCGCGCTGTCCCACCCGTGCCATGATTTGAGGATGTTATGGGTATATTCCCGTTGGACGCCGTGCCAGCTGCAGCAATTTTTAGGATTGGGGCTCATCTCTGAATTTCCCACTTGTGTGCCGTCACGGGGCTGGCATCCCCGAGCACGAGAGGGCTTGTGGTGGAATTGTAAAGCTGTTTGCAGAGCTGGGCTAAGCTTCTGAAAACACCTGGGGACAGCCCTGCCGTTTGATGTGGGGCTCGGGGAGTTATTTACGTGCTACCCCATGATACTTAGCAGGGAGAGGCTTCCTGGCTAGTTCTGCCAGAGCTGGATCTCCTCAGGGTGGATTCCATGGCCGTCCAGCACACTTTGCAGCGTTGGCCCTGGTCCTGCTGTCCTTCCACAAGCAGAACTGACATCCAGTTTGCCTCAAAACTTGAAGGGCCTGTTTGTGTCCTCGAAACCTTGGCTTTCATCAACTCCAGTGTTGGAGGAAAGGGGCTTGAGAGCTGTGCCATCCTTTGGGGACGTGTCCGGGTACAATACAAGTCAACGTGAGAGCAAGGTGGGACCATCCTGTCCATTGGACACTGATTGCTCTTGGTTCATGAGGAAGAAGGATCACTGTGCGTTTAATTTTGTGCTTGAAATGAGAACAATGTGATAAATTATGGAACCATATGGTTGAATAACTTGGTGGTATTTAAGAGATGGGTAGACTTACTGCTTATAGAGGTATGGTTTAGTGATGGTGTTTGTCACTGTTGGGTTGAACTAGATGATCTGGAATGTCCCTTCCAACCTGGACAATTCTATGATTCTAATGAATTTTTTCACCAGGTGATTTTTTCACTTGAGTCTCCTTCTCTGGAGTCATTCAAAACCCGCCTGGACACATTCCTGTTCAACCTGCTCTGGGTGGACCTGCTTTGGCAGGTGGTTGGAGGAGATGATCTCCAGAGGTCCCTTCCAACCCATGTGATTCTGTGATTTTTCCTATCCCTACACCACTAGAACAATCTCTCCAGAGTTCCTGACTGATTTTATCCAAAGAAGCGGTGGCTCTGCAGGTGAGGATGTTGTTGCAGGAGGATGGAACCAGACGTTGATGTCTTACTGTTTCTTGCAGGACCTCTGCTGGGTGGCCCTGGAGAGCTGAGCTCCCTGTTGGGCAGCGCCGAGCAGCAGCTGAACGACACCCTGCGGCGACGCCGGCACGCGGGGGACGACGACTACAACATCGAGGTGCTGCTGGGGGTGGATGACTCCGTCGTCCGGTTCCACGGCAAAGAACACGTGCAAAACTACCTCCTCACCCTCATGAACATTGTAAGTATCTCTGCAGGGCCACCCTGCTCGTCTTGGAACCTAAAAGGGAATTTAATCTCTCACAAGAGTGTCTAGCGGCCCCTGCTTGGTACAAATGCTATCATTTTGTCTGTTGGATATGGGTCTCTCTTTTCAAGATGTTCCTTTAATTTGTCTTTTTCACGGCAGTTTTCTAGGGCACATTTCTAGGGTAATTTGAAGGATTTGTAAATAGTTGAAAAACAGTGGGGGAAAATGGTGAACTTTAGATGGATTCCTAATAATTCCTAACTTCTCCCGTGACACAGCTCTGAAGGCATCCCACTTAAAGAATAAACATGCAGGGCAAAAAAAACCTTCTAAACACCTAACAGCTCTTTGGAAGAAAGCAAACCTTCTAGTAATGTCTGTTCCTTAACTCCTGTGGCAATATCCATATTTATTTAGAAACTGCAAAGGAACAGAGACATATAGAACTGTTCTGTCCTAGTGTGCCTTATGGGGTTAGCAAGTATTTTTTGTCTACGTAACGCATTTCTGGCTGTAAAATCAATGGCAAGATGCTGTTTTTAAAGATGATGGTCCTGAACTACACCGTCAGGGTCTATGAAATGCACATGACAGAAGAGCACGGTTCACACGGTGCATTAAAAGCCGTGTACGGCACCAGCACTGAATGCTGGAATTGCTCAAGCCTCAGTGTTTCCTGTTTTTTCACCTAGAAGAAATCTAAAAAAAGACAAACATAAAAGCAGTGTAAAGGAGATGTATAATCCCTTGTGATGTGTGGCCTTTTCTAATACATATAACTATCGGACCCATATGTCTTAGAAGCTGTGGGGATCATAAGGTTTTCCAGGAAAGAAAAGCAATATCCTTAGGACAGATTGTAAGAGAATAGGCTTACAGTTAATAGTGATATGATGAATGTACAAATGATTCTTGTATTCTTTACACTCACCTTTTTATTCCTGGAATAATTTGAAAATGATTCCTTAGGCTTACAAATTATCTTCGTAACATTTCTCCAGTGTCACATCAGCCGCCATCATTCCTGACTGAGGGAATCACAGACTGGTTTGGGTGGGAAAGGACCTTAAAGCCCACCCCGTGCCACCCCCTGCCCTGGGCAGGGACACCTCCCACCAGCCCAGGTTGCTCCAAGCCCCCTCCAACCTGCCCTTGAACCCCTCCAGGGATGGGGCAGCCACAGCTTCTCTGGCCAACCTGGGCCAGGCTCTCACCACCCTCACACCAAACAAGTTCTTCCCCACAGCTCAGCTCCATCTCCCCTCTTCCAGTTAAAAACCATTACCCCTCATCCTATCAGACCAGATGTTCCTGGAAATTCTGCCACAGGTCTCCAAGTTCTTATTTATGTGAATAACTGAATGTTCTCAGTATGGTACTAGCAAGGAATCATTTCCTTTTTACCACATACTTCATGAATCATCAACAATCAGCAATCTTCATTAAAGATGATTGCAGAATATGGTCTTTTTAATTTTAAAAACATTTAACTTTGCAAACAGTAGAGCTTATATGCTCTTCCCAAACACTTCCATCTTTTCCCAACCAGCTGTGGCTCCATCTGCTGCGAGTAGCTGTTGATGCAGAGCCTGTGCAAGCCCGAGTCCACTGCAGTGAAGAGCATTACCCCTTTTAGAAGGAAGGCTTTTGTAACAATCCAAACGTTCCTGACAAGATTTTAACAATAGTGGTCTTTTTTATATGGCTTTCTAAAGAAGATGCAGCTAAAACAGGAGATGAGAAGAAAATGTGATGCAAAATAAATGCAATCTAACCCTTTTTTACTCTTAAATACTGCAACAGGGTGTGTGGCCAGTTGGCCATCTGTGATGTTTCGCATCGGACAAATCAAAGGATTTACATATGTATTTTGCTCCAATATCTTGCAATGTAATATTTTTTGCCACTCTAGCTAAGGTGTACCTGCAGTTAATGCAGCAGTCTGGAAGCGCCACAGTGCACGCTGACCTTTTCAGTACTTTTTTCAGATTTGTGTCCTTTTGGTGAGGTTACAGGTTTCCAGAATTTCCCGTGTTTCAGTCACAAGAGCATACATGAACTTGCTCCTGGTGGGAATCATGTAGTGGAAGCCTCCAAAGCAACCCGCAAAGAGTGGGCTAAAAAATGGTGTTGTGGAGAAATTTTGAAGACTCGAATCTTTAGGTCAATTCCAGGATCTTTTTGGTCTCCAGGAAAGTCCTTCCTGGGAAGCTGCTCATTTCTTGGCAGAAGGGACATTGTGAACTTTTTTCCTGACACAAAACCTTTGTGGGAGCAGTGTCATTGCATTAATGGGGAGAAAATATGAGATGAAGAATTGAACTTTAGAGTAATTGCTTCATGAGATGGGCAGCCTGAGTTATGTCCTGCTGACTGTCTGTTCTCAGTAGTCCTAAAACGGACTGCTTTTCTAAAAACCATGGGCTACAATCATTGTGCCAGGTCCCACAGTCGGACAACTCAGAATGACCTTTTTCCCTGAGGAGAAGAGGGAAGTTCTGTTTAGCCTGACTTAAAAAAACCCCAAACCTCTAAATCCTGCTCAAATACACCGGCCTCTGAACAGTGGTGTTTATTTTTCACCAATTACCCATAATATAATATTTATTTACTTTTTAGAGGGATGAGTACCTTCATTGATGATCTGCAGATGTTTTAGCCCCCTAATTTATACTCTGGTGGCAGGACATTTCTCACCTTCCCAGACACAAACGAGGTCCTCAAGAAGAACAATTTTTGACCCATCTGCCTAAATCTGGGGTTTTTTAATTTCACTTCCACAAATACTCTTTTTTAGTACAAAAGTGACCACATAATTCTAATTTTTCTCTTAAAAGGAGGGAAGCAGTATTAGTTGCTTCTAAAATAAAAAAAAAATCCTTCAAAACAAAAACCACCATGAAATATTGCAGTTGTTGAGTGGAACTGCAGTGTTGCCTCTGGATTTCTGTCTTGTGGCCGGGCTCTCTGATGGGACATCAGCTTCTCCTGCGCTGGGAGTGTTGTCTGAGCTCCCATATGTGTGGAGGAGAAAGGATATTCCGTCTTTCTTTCCTTGGGAGCAGTAATTAGACCATTATTTCTAATCACCTGCTTATTTTCATAAAACTTCTGGATATTTAATTTCTTTGAGGGCTTTATTGTTTTGCAAGTGTTGCTGGAAAGTGGTCAACGGGGCCACAATTTATTGGGACATTAAAAGTAACAGAGGGAGGGACTGTCTGGTCTTTATTTCCTTTAGAAATGGGGCTAAAACCACACAAATCACAATTCTGCCTATAAATGATGTGAAGAGATCTCACTGGAGACCTCTGCAGACCTGATCTGGTGCAGAGACGTGGGCTGGTGTATGAATGCTCCAGTGGGCTTTGAAATTTGCTTTTTTCTATATGTTTTCTGTACTCCTTGAGGAGTGGAGCTATAAGATCTTGGGAGGTTGTCTTATGGATGGGAGTTTTCTGTTTTTGATGTTGTAGGTCTTTCCAGATCACGTTACTTTTACATGCTTTCATGCAGCTGCTGAATTTTTTTTAACAGAACATGTTGATTTGCAGAAATCAAGCCTGTTTGGCGATATCATTACCCTGTAAGGTATCCTGCGGCGTTTATGTGTCTGGCAATGCTGTTGACTTTAAGACTTCCAGGCAAAAATTTCCAAAGCATTTCTGGGATTTGGAAACACTTCGCCTATTAATTTTGAGATTGATTTGGTACCAAGAGCACTATTCACATCTTGAAAGCTGAACGTGCAGAAATGGAGCCTCATTGCTCGTGTCATTGTCTAAATGTTCTCCCTCCCCAGTCTAGAGCTTCGGAATGCAAAAAAAATGGCTTTCATTCAAATCCTCAAGTATTTTCTGAAGACAAACCAATGCTGAAGTTAATGGCACATTTCCTTGAGCGAGAGCTACTGGCAGCAGAATCTTTTACAAAACGAACAAAAATACGCTCGCTCACTCTCCCCACTGAAATACTCATCCCGAGTGTTTAAACTGTTCAAAAGGAGACAAATGATTGATGAAACAAATAGGAACAGGATCTGATATCGATCCACCGTTGGAGTGGCCAGATGGCATCGCAGAGGTGGCCATGGGGGGTGGATGGTGATGGGTTTATCTGTTGTTGAAGCAAACTGTCTGCTTCTAAATCCCTGAGTGCACTTGAACACACTGCTCTGACCTTGATCTCAGGAATAACCTCATTTACCCTCATTATATTTATCAAACAAGTGAAATTAAGTGTTCGGGTAAGTATTTGCAGGGTTTGACCTTGAAGTCTTTCTTTTCCCCAATTGGCTTTTCTTTTGGTCCTGATCCAAAGGCTGTTAAATTTGAGAGGAGTCTTGACATGACCTTCAGAAACTTCTGTGGGAGGGGGAATGTGATGTCTATGTCTTTCCCTGCATGGAAGTGGTTTGAGACTTGAATCCTCTTCTGAGAAGACTGGCTTAAGCACTTAAAATAACATATGTGTGGCCTTGGAAGTCCCCTGAGACTTGAATCCTCTTCTGAGAAGACTGGTTTAAGCACTTAAATTAACATACATGTGGCCTTGGACGTCCCCTTTTTAATTTTTCCTTTTTTTTTTTTCCCCTCAGGTGAATGAAATTTACCACGATGAATCCCTGGGTGTTCACATAAATGTCGTGCTGGTCCGGATGATCATGTTGGGGTATGCGAAGGTAAGCAAGGCTCCCAACCACTTCTCCACCTTCATCTTCTCTGTAATTATAGTCCTTGTGAGTTGTGTGAAGGGCTGGGGAAACAGCAGTCTGCTGAACAGCTGGTTCCAGAGAACAGTACATTGATTTTGCTGGTAAAATACACTCGGAGAGTCTTGAAACAAATGCTTGTTCAGTTGTTCAGGATGAAAGGAAAGCAGAAATGCTGTTCAGGGTTTGAAAAAGATCATAATTGTTCCACTTAACTCAAGCATCGAGTTTGGGCTACTCAAAAGACCAGTTGGATGTTTGTCTTGTATTTGAATTTACTGAGCTTGTTGGCACACACTGTAGCAAGTGTCTCGCAGAACCAGATGTTTATATCCCTCAGTGGGCATTTACTGGCACTACAGTGTTTTGCACCAGTTGAGGCATTAGGAAGAGAGAAATGGGGACCTGGTTGGTGTTCCAAGAACATCCAGGCTCGTCTGAATTTCCTACCTTTGGGAGCTCCTGGGTCTAACGTGTTGCTCTTTCAGTCCATTAGCTTGATTGAAAGGGGGAACCCCTCGAGGAGCTTGGAGAATGTTTGCCGCTGGGCATATCAGCAGCAGAAGTCGGACCCCAACCACTCTGAGCACCACGATCATGCCATCTTCTTAACCAGGCAAGATTTTGGGCCTGCTGGTATGCAAGGTAATGCAGCTGACCGGGAGCCAGACTGTCTGGCCTTGGTGTTTTTCTGGCTAGCGTCTGCCAGAAAAGGGGAAAATCTGAAAGTTGCATGGTCCTGAGACAACAAGCAACGTAGGCCTTTATTCGGCAAATACTTAAGGAAGTGTTCAATTTTAGATGTATTGAAACCTGTTGGGGAAAGCGTGGACACCCGTCGTGATTTTCAGTTCCCTGATCTGGGGTTAGAAAGGGCCAACTTCACTTTTATTTTATTGCATTGTTCACTGTAGGTTTCTTTTCGTAGATAATGTACCAGCTACTTGGATACCTGCGTTAATCTTGAACTAATGACAATTAGAAGTAAATTCCCAAAGTGTGATTTGTGTCAGTGCAGATAAATAAGACCCTGGGTGAGACTGGGCTTTGGCTGTCCAGCTGGAGGCACCTTGGAGATTGATGTTTCGTACCTTCATGCTCCCTTCTCCTGCCAGGGGATGACAAGGGTCTGAGTTCTCCTTCAGGTCTGGGCTGGCCTCCTTGGGATGAAACTTGGGTGAGGTCGGGATGTTGGGCAGACTTCCCTGTCATCAGAAAGATTTTAGCTTTTTCTGAGGAAAAGACATGCCACATGCACCAGGCAGTGTGTGGATGAAGGCACTAATATGAACACACGCAAAAAATCCCAGCCTATATTGCAGCCTTTTAACTGAAGAGGAATCTGCTGCATTTTTGGTAATAAAATGTTTGAGTGCCTGAAGTAACACAGATATAAAATGTTTGAGTGCCTGAAGTAACACAGATGTCTGTGGAATCAATCCCAGTATCTCAGAGGCATTCACTCTGTTTGACAGCAATTGCAAATACAGGAAAAACTGACAATTAAAGAAAATAAGGTTCTTCTCTGGTAGTATATTTACTGGGGAGGTCTCATTTAAAATACGTGTAATGGGTGAAAGATCCAGACGTGGTTTCTCTCCGTAGGATATGCTCCTGTTACCGGCATGTGTCACCCAGTCCGAAGCTGCACCCTCAACCACGAGGACGGGTTTTCATCCGCTTTTGTTGTTGCTCATGAAACTGGTCACGTGTAAGTCTGACTTTTACAACTGAATTACCAGCAGAACACGGTGCTGCATCTCCTGCTTGCTTCAAGGGGTGTAACTTTAATGGCTGTATGAAAGCTGTGCTCATTTTATTTCCATCCCCTTGGAATGCATCGGTGGTTTGAGCAGTGAAGAGATAAGTGGGGGAAGAGAGAACTTATTTGAAGAGGTCAGTGAAACCTGGAAGGCCCCAGTGGTGGAGACAGTAGCTTGTGAAGCATCCTTAACTTCTTTCTTCTCATTGACTCAAAGTGCTGACTTGTTAGATTTGGCACCTCTTCAAGAATGATGAAACGGGAGTGAGGATCTCTGTTAGCTGTCTGGAGGGATTCACGTCAAGCACTGAGGATCTGATTTTTGTCTTCCCTAAGTAGTTCAGGCTGCTCGTTCATCTCACTGGGTGGAACTGAGCCCAGCTGGAGATGACCAGATCACTTGCATGTTAAGCTGTACCAGGCACACGTTTGGAGACGTAGCTTGATATAACCACGTTAGCTCTTTGCAGATGCAACATGATAATTATCTTAGCTCTGTGTTTAAACGGGTGCTTTTAGTAAATAAGTATTCAAACGTGAACAATTCACTGTCTGAATGAGCAGAATTTTTGTTCTCCTTTCTCCAAAGCATAAGTTGTCATCATCTAGTTAGTTCATTCCTGGCATTAACAAATAAAATGAAGTATAACAGATCACTTGCATGTTAAGCTGTACCAGGCGCGCGTTTGGAGACATAGCTTAATATAACCACGTTAGCTCTTTGCAGATGCAACATGATAATTATCTTAGCTCTGTGTTTAAACGGGTGCTTTTAGTAAATAAGTATTCAAACATGAACAATTCGCTGTCTGAATGAGCAGAATTGTTGTTCTCCTTTCTCCAAAGCATAAGTTGTCATCATCTAGTTAGTTCATTCCTGGCATTAACAAATAAAATGAAGTATAAATTAGATATTGGGAAGAACTTGTTTGGTGTGAGGGTGATGAGAGCCTGGCCCAGGTTGGCCAGAGAAGCTGTGGCTGCCCCATCCCTGGAGGGGTTCAAGGGCAGGTTAGAGGGGGCTTGGAGCAACCTGGGCTGGTGGGAAGTGTCCCTGCCCAGGGCAGGGGGTGGCACTGGGGGGATTTAAGGTCCCTTCCACCCAAACCATTCTGTGATTCTATGATAAATGAATGAGTAGTCAGAGGGTCCTTATGTTTTGGCACCAAAGAAGGTCAGTTTGAAGTGCAGGTGATACCTGCAGAACACAGTTTCATTTTGCGTGATCCCGTGTGGACGAGGAACTGTTTTCTCAGTTTGTTTTCAACTGATTTCTGGGTTGTTTGACCAGTTGTGAAGGGGGGGAATCTGCCTGGGCTCTGACAGCTGTTCTTTGTTGCAGGCTGGGGATGGAGCACGACGGGCAAGGGAACCGCTGCGGGGACGAGACGGCCATGGGCAGCGTTATGGCTCCCCTGGTGCAGGCCGCCTTTCATCGCTACCACTGGTCCAGGTGCAGCGGCCAAGAACTCAAAAGATACATACAGTAAGGACTGGGCAGCACGCGGTGGTCGCCGTTTTACTAAAGGAAACACAATTCTTTGCGGTTCCTGGGGTGTGGGGCTGGTTTGCTGCCCTCTGCTCGAGAGAGGAGCATCAACGGGACCTGTGGCTGTGGAAGCCCTTTTTATGAACACCGTGGTACGGGGTGAGGTGTCGAGGGATGGGACCCTCCAGAGTGACCTTCCCTCTGCGTCCAAGCAGGGCTTCAGCCTTCAGAGTTGTTCCACTTGGCTTCAGGACAGCACCAGTGAGACACCGCTATCTCCACCAAACTCTTTTTTTCCCTTCAAATCTATATTAGAAAAGCTCTAAACCAAGAACGATGCTTCCTCACTTAGGGCTGCACCCAAAGCCCATTGCATCCTCCGGGGAGCACGGCCAGAGTCCCCCTGGCAGGCTTTATGTCAGGTAGCTGGTATTTTCACTAGGTTTTGGGTTTCTCTGGGAATTATGCTGTAAAACTGGCAGGATGAAGCCCTGAACTCTGAAAAAGAAAGTAGTGAATGTTGTGGAAGAGAGAAGGCAGCATGCGTGTGCGTGTCTGAATTAGGGAGAAACAGAGAACACATCTCTCCCCTGCCAGCTCTTTCCTCCTTCAGGCTTCCTTGTGATAGGACAAGGGGTCATGGTTTTAAACAAAAAGAAGATTTAGACTAGATAGAAGGAAGGCGTTTTTTACACTGAGGGTGGTTAGACCCAGGTTGCCCAGAGAGGTTGGAGATGCCCCATCCCTATAAATGTTCCAGTTCAGGATGGATGGAGCTTTGAGTAACCTGGTCTAGTTGAAGATGTCTCTGTTTATGGTAGGGAGGGTTGGACTGGATGGCTTTTAAAGGCCCCTTCCAACCCAAACCATGCCCGTGGCAGGGAATTGGAACAAGATGATCTTTAAGGTCCCTTCCAAGCCAAACCATTCTGTGATTCTGTGATTCTACAATTCCTTCTCCATTGCAAATAGCTGGTTTTGTCAGTCAAAACTGAGTGAAAACCTCATGCGTTGACCCACATCTCCTACAGAACAAACCCTCTTTGTAACATAAAGCATAAAATAGTAATTGGTTGAGACCTTAGGGCTTCAAGTGACATAGCAGGAGGAGCAGCCCACCATTATTGCTGTTTTAAGACACCAGAGTTGAACAGGAATGAGCCAAAAGCAAGCTTTATTCTTGCCCTTTGCACAGGCAGGGCTTCATCCCTGTGAACACAGCAGATGCCAGGTGAGGGGGCCTCTTCTCAGACTACTCTCCTGTTTGAAAGCACCACAAGGTCAGCAGAAAAACACCCTGTGACATAGGGGAGCTTTGTGTTAGGCCAGGTGGAAGCACACGGAGATGTTGCCTTTTGGCACTGAGAATGGAGGAGCTTTTGTTTTCCACCTCTGGTGACAGGAAGGTAAAGTGCAAATTCCACGTGTGCCACTGGGGCAGGGAAGGGCTGGAGATGCCTCTCCGTGGTCTCCAGCTCCAAGACTTTGCTGGGGGATGTGCCCATGCGATGCTCAGTCCCGTTGCACTTGGCCATATTCCTACAGAAGGGACTGACTGTGCTTTGGGGAGCCACAACCATGTAAACAGGGAGAAAACAGCTTGGAGAAAAGGAGTATTGCCTTACTAAGAATAAGTACTTTGATCTTGCTGATCCAAAAAAACCCAAAACCCTACATCTTCTCATGATGTTTTTTTTTTCTCTGTGTCTTTCCACAGCTCTTATGACTGTCTTCTTGACGACCCTTTCGAACACGATTGGCCCAAGCTTCCCGAGCTGCCAGGCATCAATTACTCCATGGACGAGCAGTGCCGCTTTGATTTTGGCGTGGGCTATATAAGTACTTTGATCTTGCTGATCCAAAAAAACCCAAAACCCTACATCTTCTCATGATGTTTTTTTTTTCTCTGTGTCTTTCCACAGCTCTTATGACTGTCTTCTTGACGACCCTTTCGAACACGATTGGCCCAAGCTTCCCGAGCTGCCAGGCATCAATTACTCCATGGACGAGCAGTGCCGCTTTGATTTTGGCGTGGGCTATAAAATGTGCACAGCGGTAAGTCTGAGGCAGGCGGTCGTTCAGCAAGCTGGTGGCTGGCCTTGTTCAAGAGCTGCAATATATGCATTTCCTCATCACTGAAGAGCAGTCAATGGAGGAGTTTAAACAGATCTATAAAGAGGAGAGAGATATTTATGGGTGAAACACAGTCATCCGGGTCATTTGATTTAATGGTCGAGTGGACGGCAGCACGGTCCACGTGACACAGACTTGTGGGAGTGATCCCAAAGAAGAAGGGGGAAAAAAACCTAATTTTCCTCCCACTTCTGGGTGTCTCCTCCTTTCCTCTTCTCACCACCTGAGGGATGCAGGGAATAAGCACTGCCATTTTCTTTCTGAAGATACTTTTGCCCTTTTTTAAAATGAAGATACTGTACTTACTGGTAACCATGTGTGAGATGAATTGACTGGGTGGGTTGAATCCTTATCTGAAAAGTATTAATAATCTAATCTTGGGGTCCATCTCATAAACGTTCTGCATTTCAGTTCCGAACCTTTGACCCGTGCAAGCAGTTGTGGTGCAGCCACCCAGATAACCCCTATTTCTGTAAGACTAAGAAGGGACCTCCACTCGACGGGACAGAATGTGCCCCTGGAAAAGTAAGCCTTGTGTTTTTTCGCTATGTTTGTGTTAAAAAAAAAACCCAGCAGTTGCATTCATTTGGCTTAAGGGGCACAGAGGAAGGGAAAAAATGGAGCTCTGCCTTCCCACTGTGATGTTCTGTCAACTGTACAAGTAAATTTTGGACATGGAAACAAGGTGTAACCCATTCTGAGCCTCTCTGTGGCCTTTTTGCTATGTTTTTTTGGATTCTTGTCCCATCTTCAGAGTGTCCATAAAGTGTCTTTAGGAATCCAGGGTAGTGGATTAATGCCATTACTGTAGGACTGCTTCTCAGTGCTTGTGGTCCAGACGTCCCGTGGCTAAATGTTTGTGCAGGCTTAGGATTAGCTCTTTCTTTTTCCCTTTTAATATCTCCATTAGCGGGTGTCCTGCTGCTAATTCATTTTTAATTATAAAATGATACTCAAATAGATGTTTGTTTGGCAAATTCTGTGTATTTTGAGATACAGGAGAGCCACTTGTGCCATCTGAGTATGCCCTAGCCAGCAGCAAACCAGCACCCCACCCAGTGACCAGCCCTCTGTCCCAGCCTATTTCCATAAGTGTGACATTTGGCCAGTATGAATTAAAAAAAAGCCTCTGTCCCAGCCTATTTCCATAAGTGTGATATTTGGCCAGTATGAATTAAAAAAAAAGAAAAAAACACCCAACTAATCCTCAGCAAAATTATCCTGCTAATATTCAGAATATAAAAAATCGTTCAAAAAGGTGGTAGCGACTTGGGAAAAAAAAAAACCAACTAATCCTCAGCAAAAAACTTTATGCTGCTAATATTCAGAATATAAAAATTCCTTCAAAAAGGTGGTAGCGACTAAGACTCAGATAAAACAAAGACTCATTTAAATTAAGAGGAGGGTGGAAGGTGTTGAACTTCATGTGTGCTCACGGAAGGGTTGAGAAGGAGATTCCTTCAGGGAGGGGATCAGGTCCTCCTGGGCCATGAGCACATCGACCCTGCCCCGATTTTTCCCCGGGCACTGTGAAGGTACCTTTGGGGGGTTTTGTGTCTGTTCTCACCCCTTTTCCCTGCCCTGTTTCCCTCAGTGGTGCTATAAAGGTCACTGCATGTGGAAGAACGCAAACCAGCTGAAGCAGGATGGCAACTGGGGACCCTGGACAAAATTCGGCTCCTGCTCCCGAACCTGCGGAACCGGAGTTCGCTTCCGAACACGCCAGTGCAACAATCCAATGTAGGTCTGCTGGCTCCAGGGGGTGCTTCCATCAGCTGGGAATCCCTACGGATGTCAAGTTAAATGATATTTACATTTTGGATGGAGTCTGCCAAAATTTCTGTTCTGTTCCAGCCCCGTCAAACATGGCTTTTTGCAGGGGTCGTTTCTGGGGGGATCCACGACTTCCCAGAGGAATGCCTGTAAAAAAACATCCCAAGGATTTAGCTGATGTGTGAGAGAGTGAAGAGTAGGTGGTGTGTGAGCTCAGCAAGGAGAAACTTAGATAGTCTGTAATTGTAAATGGAGGTTGGGAGCATTTACGTGCACTCATACTGCTTTTACATGTCAGCATTGGCCTTGGGGCTGGGTGGGCAAGCATGGAGGTCATGCTGCAGGCACCTATCTGTGCAGGGTGACTGCTCTGTGTCCACTTCTGTCACTCCATGTGCCTTTTTTGCAAAATAGTCTGAAAATAAAGTGTGAAATTTCACCTAAGACAGAAGAAAAATCCCCAGAACTAATGCCCAGAGGGTTTTAGAACCTCTTGAATGTTCTTATTCTCTTCACAGGCCCATCAACGGAGGTGAAGATTGTGCCGGTGTCAATTTTGAGTTTCAACTTTGCAACACAGAGGAGTGTCCCAAGCACTTTGAGGACTTCAGGGCCCAGCAGTGTCAGCAGCGCAACTCCCACTTCGAGTATCAGAACAGCAAGCACCACTGGCTGCCCTACGAGCACCCTGACTGTAAGTCCTCTTCCTTGCCCTGATTACAAGTCAATCCTGGAATCTTCCAGAGTTGGGAGCATCTTCTCCATCAGCCACACAGAGACCCGAAATAATTGGGGTGTGAGCAAGTGTAGGTGAGACTCAAAGGCAGGAAAAAAGGATGGTCCCAGAAGGAAAGAATGGGTGCCACCATGCGAGACAGCTATTTTTTCCCCAAGCCCAGGCCTCCCTTGACTTTCATCCTCTTAGTGAGAACGTCTTGCTGGAATGGCTGGTGGGTGCTCACAGTCTCTGATGCACTGCACTGTCGAGCTGTGGCTCTCAGCTGTTGGGGCAAAGTGTGGAAAACTGGTGGTTGGGCTGTCAAAAACTCCTTCTGCCCTCTCTCTCATGTACAGCCTGAATGCAAAGAGTCAATGATGGATCATGGCTCCTGAAAGTATTAACTGTGTTTTCCTACTGGCACCACTTGAGAAGTTCTTCCTAGTATTTTCCCACTCTTAGAGCTCCATCTGCCTCGGCCTGGTTCTGTCAGTCTTCACTCCTTATGTTAATCTAATCCAGTAATTACCTTGTGGGACAAGGAGAGCTCTGAGCACAGGTTCCTGGTTCACTCCAAGGTGTTGGGGAGTTGCTGGTGTTTCCTCCTCAGGTAGCTCCCAAGAACCCTTTACACAGATGGCTAAGGAGTTAGATTCAGTCATTAGCTAGGAAATAGGTGTTCAGCTGGTGTTTTCAAAAAAGGATAAAGAAAGGGATCCAAGTCCTCTGCTTTTCACTGGGCTTTAGCACTGTCTTCTTACAGAATCACAGAATGCTAGGAAAAAAGGATGGTCCCAGAAGGAAAGAACTCCAACAGCACTGGAGTAAAAGTTGCTTCCAGAATAGTTGGGAAGCCAGTCCAAGGAGCCTCTTTAAAAGGGAACTGATTTCCATGGGAATATCTCAAAGTGATAGGCCCATAATTCACAGAAAAGCAAATTAATGGGTTGTTGTTTTTTCTCACAGCTGTCTGCTAAAGGTCCTTTCTATCTCTGTCGTATTCTCTTCACTCCTTTAGTGGGATATCTTTCCGGATTGCTGTTAATTTATGCCGTTACTTCTCTTCCCCCAGCTAATAAGAGATGTCACCTGTACTGTCAGTCCAAGGAGACTGGAGATGTTGCCTACATGAAGCAGTTGGCACACGACGGGACTCGCTGCTCCTATAAGGATCCCTACAGCATCTGTGTCCGCGGGGAATGCGTGGTGAGTGTCCCCTTCCCACCCTCACCGCGGCGGCTGGGCTGTGCTGAGTCACGGAGCAGCCCTGGTGAGCATCACCCAGAACAGCTCCATCAACAGTGCAGAGTTAGTCTTGGCACATGTGTCTAAATTAAATTTTTGAAATATGGGTAGAATGAAGTTTTATATTTTCCTGTCGTCACACAGAATCCCAGAATTGTTGGGGTTGGAAGAGACTTTGGGAGATCATCTCCTCCAGCCCCCTGCCACAGCAGGGTCACCCACAGCAGGTCCCACAGGAACGTGTCCAGGTGGGTTTGGAATGTCTCCAGAGAAGGAGACTCCACCACCTCTCTGGGCAGCCTCTGCCAGGGCTCTGCCACCCTCACACCAAACAAGTTCCTCCTCATGGTGAGATGGAACTTCTTATATTCCAGGTTGTGCCCGTTCCCTCTTGTCCTGTCCCTGGGCACCACTGAGAAAAGCCTGGCCCCATCCTCCTGACACCCACCCTTGAAGGATTTATAGGTGTTGATCAGATCCCCCCTCAGCCTTCTCTTCTCTAGACTAAAAAGACCCAAGTCCCTCAGCTTCTCCTCATCACAGAGATGCTCCAGGCCCCTCATCATCTCTGTAGCCTCTGCTGTCTCCTCTCCAGCAGTTCCATGTCTTTCTGGAACTGGGGAGCCCAGAACTGGTCCCAGTGCTCCAGGGCAGAGCAGAGGGGCAGGATGATCCATTCCCAACAGCACTGGAGTAAAAGTTGCTTCCAGAATAGTTGGGAAGCCAGTCCAAGGAGCCTCTTTAAAAGGGAACTGATTTCCATGGGAATATCTCAAAGTGATAGGCCCATAATTCACGGAAAAGCAAATTAATTGGTTGTTGATTTTTTTCTCACAGCTGTCTGCTAAAGGTCCTTTCTATCTCTGTCGTATTCTCTTCACTCCTTTAGTGGGATATCTTTCCGGATTGCTGTTAATTTATGCCGTTACTTCTCTTCCCCCAGCTAATAAGAGATGTCACCTGTACTGTCAGTCCAAGGAGACTGGAGATGTTGCCTACATGAAGCAGTTGGCACACGACGGGACTCGCTGCTCCTATAAGGATCCCTACAGCATCTGTGTCCGCGGGGAATGCGTGGTGAGTGTCCCCTTCCCACCCTCACCGCGGCGGCTGGGCTGTGCTGAGTCACAGAGCAGCCCTGGTGAGCATCACCCAGAACAGCTCCATCAACAGTGCAGAGTTAGTCTTGGCACATGTGTCTAAATTAAATTTTTGCAGCCTCATATTTCTCATATTTCCTTGAGATTTAAATTTAATTAGCGTGACGGCACAGACCCGCTCCATGGAAACACTCCCCTTCAACGGATGGTTTCATTTGCCTTTTTTGCACTTAGTTTCCTATAAGAAAAGAATCATGTCTGTTTTCCTCTTTCCCATCTTTCTCAGTCTTGAAGTACAATGAACATAAAGCAAGAATCACTCCTTATTTTTCATGTGAAAACTGTTATCCAGCGCCATATTTACAAGTAATTTGTGTTTCAACAAAAGAAATCAGCATTGGGTGGTGCTTTCCTCCGTGCCATGGCTTCCCACCATAACTAAAACCCAACAACTGATGACAAAACCTCCTCTTTTTTGCTTCTTTTGCTCTTCCTCCTGCAGAAGGTGGGTTGTGACAAGGAGATCGGCTCCAACAAGGTTGAGGACAAGTGTGGTGTCTGCGGCGGGGACAACTCTCATTGCCGAACGGTGAAGGGAACCTTCACCCGCACTCCCAAAAAGCTCGGTAGGAATGGCATTTCCCTGCACCTCGGGATAGTTCCTGTTTGCTAAACAAAACCAGACTGTTCTCGCAGTGAAATGCAGAAAAAATGGAGGTACATCCCTGGCACTCTAGCTTCTAGCTGTAGGAGGACTAGAGGAATCACACAGAATCACAGAATGATGTGGGGTTGGAAGGGACCTCTGGAGATCATCTCCTCCAACCCCCTGCCACAGCAGGGTCACCCACAGCAGGTCCCACAGGAACGTGTCCAGGTGGGTTTGGAATGTCTCCAGAGAAGGAGACTCCACCACCTCTCTGGGCAGCCTCTGCCAGGGCTCTGCCACCCTCACACCAAACAAGTTCCTCCTCATCTTGAGATGGAACTTCCCATGTTCCAGTTTGTGCCCGTTCCCTCTTGTCCTGTCCCTGGGCACCACTGAGAAAAGCCTGGCCCCATCCTCCTGACACCCACCCTTGAAGTATTTATAGGTGTTGATCAGATCCCCCCTCAGTCTTCTCTTCTCCAGACTAAAAACACCCAAGTCCCTTGAAGATCAAGCTTTTCACAAGTTTTTACTCTCAAACCTAAACTCAAAGAGTTACAAATGGAAATCTGAATTTCTGTGCCTATGAAGTGAGCATATAGCTCCTCATGGCAAATTGGCTTTTTATGAGGCTTTCTCACAAATTACAGTGCTTTAGTCAAATAACAATAAATTCAGCTGAATTCTGAGCCAAATATAAAAATGTTTTGGCAGGAATCCTCATTTCTTGTACCCTTTAAGTCATGTATCCAGTGGAACATGGGGTAGCATTTTGCTGTCTCATAACTCAGAGGGACCTGCTTCAAATTTTCAGACTGTGCTCTGGGGGGGTTTGCCACATATTTCATATCAATAATAATTCAAGATCTCCTCGGGCTTCTTCAGAAATTTCTGTTTTGTCAGTTAGTTGTTAAACCAGGGCAGAATCTTCTTGTACATTTTGCTGTGACTGTTTTGTCCTTTGAGGCTTTCCTGTATTGCTTTTTTCTTTTCCCAGTCTGGGAAAGCTCCTCAGGGACACGTCTCTCCAGTGTGACTGGGAGCAGTTATTTCAGGAATATCTGTCTGATAGAACTAAGCGTTTTAAAACAGAGCAGAGAGAGGCTAAGGGACAGATAACACGAATATCTGCATTAATGGTTTAGAGGCTGGTAATGAGGTTTAGAGGCTGGTAATGGTTTGGAGGCTGCCGTGAAGCAAGCCTTACTTTTATATTAATAATTAATTATTAATAATTCCATTTGGACAGTGAGCAACCAAACCAAACATGGACAAAGATAGGCTAATATGTGACGGGAGATAAAATACATAAAATACTCTGCTGAAAATATTTGCTAATTATTACACACTAACTGGAAAAGTTTACCAGTTTTAATTATCAAATTACAGTAGAGAGCCTTTCTGAAGGGGGTGTTTCCCTGGAGGCTGATGGATTGGACATGGAATAATGCAGGAATCAGCACTAGGAGACAGGGCAAGGAGCACTGCTGTTAATCAGCCACTCGTTTGCAAATGTTTATGGAAGTGCTGGAAGTGTTTATGAAATGTTTATTGTTCTGCCCTGACTTTGGCAATCTAGTCATTAAAAAGACTAATTGACCTCTTCCAACAGGAAAACATTTAAGCAAGAGGTGCCAAAAAGAATTCAAGTTTCTGGAAAATGAACTCTGCAAGTATCCACCTTAAAACCACCTACCCAAATTTCTGCTGGTCTGACTTTCATTGACTGTTTGCACTTGCTAGATGTGTCTAGTTCTGCTTTCAAAGCCTTTGAACACATAACGTAATCCACACTGTACACTCCTAAGGACCATCTGGCTGACAAACGTAGTCAATGAAATCAGGAGACCCGCCCCCGTAGCGCTAATTGCAGGCGTTCTGTTTAAGGGAAGACGAGAGGAGCGTTTACGTTGCCCAAAGGAGCTCGCAATATTTCCCTTTCTGAAACAAAGGAGTCTAAAAATACGCTGGGTAAGTCTGAAGAGCTTGCAGAGAGAGGGGCATCTGCGGCCACGGGAGAGTCCTTGCTGCAGTTCTCATCTCCGTCAGACGCCGACGGATAACACCAAATCAGGCAAAAGCTTTATGTTTCATATGCTCAAGAGAGGACCAATGGAAAGATTGGCAAAGGCTGTTTGTGCAGCCACTCGTCAGCCAAGGCCATGATTTTACACATTCCCAGCTCTTTTTCTTCACTTAGATTTTTGAAGGAGCTGTAAGGTCCTTCAAAAATCAGTGACAAACCACTGCTGCGTTCCTTGGTCCCCAGGTGAAACAGAGTTACTTAAACCTTACGTCTTGTGTTTGTAATGCACAAATAGTCAAACTCTTGTAAAAAACCATCTCTGCTGCTTCTGCAGCAGGGCTGGATAACTCAGGAAAACCACATAGCAGGGTCCAAAACAGAGAGAGACTTAAACAGCTCTTAAAAAAGGGATCTACAGAGATTTACCATAATTAAATCCGCAGTTGTTAAAGAGAAAATAAGAGAATATGAAAATACCGTGCACTCAGAGTGCTTATGGTGCTCTTGATTAAAACTTGATATAGAAGTACCTGTTGACATGTCCCTAGGAGGGATTTTAGTCTTCCCAGTGACAGTACTTACTCAGTGTCTCACCAATTACCTGTGGTTTGGACTGATACATAACAGAAATTTAAAATAAGAATCATTTTCTTTGGGAACAGCTTTTTTACTTTTAGCTGGAGAGAGCTGCATTCAACTCCATCAATTTAATCGATGCATCTTACATTCACAGTTGTAAATAATTTGGGCTAACAAGCCTTTTCTGATGTGCAGTGACAAAAATCCTCTGTACTACACACACCTTTCCCCAGGCTTTGATGTCTCAGAAGTGAGCAGACACACTTAAGAGATTAACATCTAACATAATGGTAAATAAACTCAAATCTACCAAAATCTACCAAATCTACCAAAATCTACCAAATCGGCCTGGCTGATGAGTGATTTGACAAAAAATAACCAGGAAAGTTTGTGATTTTCCCCCTGGTTCACTGAGGAACATAGGAAACATGTTTTTGCCTGAATTGTGAGTGGATCTGGGCTGTAGCCGTGTAGCCAGTCAAACGACAAATAGGTTTGTAACTGGTTTCTCTTCTCTCCCCCAAAGAGGGAAAAAGCCAGGAGGTCCCATCAAACACATTACAAACTATTTGCTCTGTTTATTTCTGCCACGGCTTCTCGGTCGGCGATGGATGCCCCCCTCTGCAAGCAGAAATGGGGTCATGTAGCACGCTCCTAACCATGGCTATTACTTTTTCTTTCCGTCTCTGCTTTCTCCACTGACTGCTACACATGCCAAAAGGGTACCTTAAGATGTTTGACATCCCTCCCGGTGCTCGACATGTGTTTATCCAAGAAGACGAGGCTTCTCCTCACTTTCTTGGTAAGTGTTTCTCTCCTCAGGTGTGGCTTCACATTGAGAAGCACGGGGCAGTCAGGCAGGAGAACCTGAGAAACCAGATAACCAAATTAAAGCCTTCAGGGTAAATCCGTGCATTCCAAACCTGCATGTGAAGGACTGCCTCCTATGGCATAAGCTCAGCAAACAACTATTTACTTCTCGTTTGAACTCTTCAAAACATTCAACTGACCCTAATTTGCATGTTTACTAACAAAAGATCGTCATCACTCACATTTAAACGGTTAAAAACTACGTATTCTATTCTGTGAATCAAATTGAGTATCTTTAATTATTCTTATTTGCTGCAGGTTGTAAGCAGCAGCTTTTTTAATGAAAGAAGATTGGGGAACTCGTGATATATTTGCAGTCCATTTCATTTCAGATTTTTCTCACGTAGGACAGGTCATGCTGTTGTCAGTCAGTTTGTATCTTACTGCTTACCATTTTCTAATGGTTAAGGGATTTTTAGCTCTTCCCTGGATTTTAACAGCCTTTTTATCAGCTGTTCATGTGCTATGGCAGTGTCTGAGTGGTGAACCTTTCAGGTAGAGTTGGATTAGTTACTAAAAAAAAGTAGAAATAGGAAAGAAATATATATTTCTGAGTGGTTTTTTTAATCATGTTTTAAGGTACACTGGAAAAAAATGGACAAAGGAAAAACTGAGAGCCCATCTTTCAGATTTTTAATGTATTGGCTTCTACTTGGAGCATAATAATAACAGTAATTGTGTGACCTCCAAGGTGTGGTGCAGGAACCCAAACCCAAGTGGTTTCCCAGGGTTTCAAATGCCTCAGCTCTTTGCTTCCTGATTTTAGCGTCTGGTACGTATGTATGTACACAAAAGAAACTAAAATGTGATCAAAAAGTTGTCACTTTCATAATCTGAGGAAAATAAGAAATGCATTTGAAGTCTGTTGAGGAGTCTGTTATACTAGGAGGCATTCCCAGGGATTTTGGTTTTAGGCAAATAGAGAAGACAGGTGATTTTGAAGATTTGACCCAAATTCCTTGCTTCTTGGGAACTAAGCTAGTATGGGAAATGTGCACATTACATAGGGAGGAGGAGCTTCAGCCAGTCTCTAGTTCTGTATCTCAATTCACATGGATAAGGAAGTAGAAAATTGAATATATCTATCATCAAACTGGAATTTGGCAGCTGCATGAGGTGGTTTTGGAGGAGCCTTTCTCTGAGCCAACGCTTCTGCAACTCCTGCTGCGTTGGGTTCCTTTGGGAAGGCCACCTATGATATCTCCACCATGACTGCTTGCGGTGTGATGGGAGGCACGACTGCCACTCTTTTCAATCCTTTTAGCAATTAAGAACCAGGCTACAGGACACTACATTCTGAACGGGAAGGGGGAGGAGGCCAGATCCCGGTCCTTCATCGACCTGGGCGTGGAGTGGGAGTACAACATCGAAGATGACATTGAAACCCTCCACACGGACGGGCCCTTGCACGATGCGGTGGTTGTGCTGGTAGGTTACGTGTCCAGCGGTGGGAATCTGGTGGGTTTGTCTCTAATAGAAAGATAAAACACCGCCATGTAACGCCTCTCTGAAAGAAATGTGATGGGATTGCTGGTGGCCTGAAGCCCTCTTCTCACTCCCTGTTGCCCTCTCTTGTAACCTGCTGCCTGTTCGTGCAATGAGTCAATCAGAAGTCCCATATTGCGTCGTTGGACATCAGTGGGATGCTTCCAGTGGCCCAAAAAAGGGCATTGCCTGTCAAACTATGTCCCAAACTTGGGTTCTTTCGCCCAGTAAACAATGTGGCCACGTCATCCTTTCACCCTGGATGACGGTGTCCTGCTTGGCCAGCTCAGAAGGCTGGCCTGGAAATGTATCTCATTTTAAGTGGCTCTGTGTTGATATTACTATTGGTAGTTCTAACTCTGAAGACAAAAAGCAACTTTATTCCCCCAATGAGTTAACTACCAGTTTCCATGTTTCCCCTAAAAACCAGGCCTCGGTTTCTTTACTTTGCAAATAATAGCTCTGGTTTTGTACCTCCTGTTTACCTGTGATTATTAATAGATCATTCCTCGGGAGAACGACACAAGATCCAGCCTGACTTACAAATACATCATTCACGAGGATTCGGTACCAACCATCAACAGCAACAACGTCCTGCAGGAGGAAACAGACACCTTTGAGTGGGCCTTGAAGAGTTGGTCGCAGTGCTCCAAACCCTGCGGTGGAGGTAAAGTGATGATGGAGCACCTTCTCCTAACGAGTGACAAATTAACCAAAGTGGGTACCCTTTGCTGGCGGGGAGAGTGAACGCTTTAGAAGTCTTGGCTTTCATTTCTTTTTTAAAAGCAGGTTGTTATTTTGGGTGCCCAAGCTCAAAATAGGTTAAGTGCCTGATTATTCAAAAGTGTCACACTTCCAGCCGAGAAAGGAAAAGTCCTTTTTAGGTGTTTAAATTCAGTACCCGAGGCCACTTTGGAAATGCAGACTCAAACATTTATGTTATTGAGTGTTCGCTTTACTTACAGTATGTGTATTACCCTTATGCAAAGAATGGGGAATGGAAATACCAAAATAACTCCTACATCCAGCAGTTGAGCTGGAGTGATGCATTATGTGGCAAAAACACTAAACTGAGAGCTGGGTTCATGCCCAGGTTAGCCCGTGACCTGCTGCTGGGTGTTAGGTGAATTCTCCCCTCTCTGTGCCATGATTTGGGTGTTAGGGGTTAGAGGAAGGGGTCATAACCATCCCTTCTGGCCTTAAAAACCTATAAATAGCATCCACAGAGCCCTGTGCCATGATCTTCTGCCTACAACGGAACAAACTGTGAGTGTGTTTAAAAACTTCATAAATATCTGTCACGTAAAACCATTTATTTGGCTGTAAAACTTAGATTTAAGCCAAAAAATTCTAGCAAGGACCTGTTTTTCCTGATGTTTCTGAAATGTTTTCCCAGGGTTCCAGTACACCAAATACGGGTGCCGCAGGAAGAGTGATAACAAAATGGTTCATCGCAGCTTCTGTGAAGCCAGCAAAAAGCCAAAGCCCATTCGTAGAATGTGCAACCTTCAGGAATGCACCCAGCCTCTGTAAGTGCATCCCCCCAAAAAAAGACATGAGCCGTGGCTCCTGGGGCTGGGATTTAACAGGGGCAAAGGTGGCGGGATGCTGACAGCTTTCCAGGCTGGAGCTCCTGCATTTTGGATGGGTTTTTTACCTGCAAAAGGATGGTTACTGATCTTATTTGGTGGTTTCATCGCAAAAATATTGTGTATTACACCAAAAAAGTTGTGTATTACACATACCTGCAAAAGGATGGTTACTGATCTTATTCAGTGGTTTCATTGCAAAAATATTGTGTATTACACCAAAAAAAGTTGTGTATTGCACAAAAAAATGTTGTGTATTACACAAAAAAAGTTGTATATTACACAAAAAAAGTTGTATATTACACAAAAAAAGTTGTATATTACACAAAAAAGTTGTATATTAAGGGCTGCCTGACCCAGCGGCCGTATGGATAACACTGAAAAGTCGTGATGGTATCTCGTTTGTTTTTCTTTCCCAGCTGGGCAGCAGAGGAGTGGGAACACTGCACAAAGACCTGTGGGAGCTCGGGCTACCAGCTGCGCACCGTGCGTTGCCTCCAGCCCCTCCCCGACGGCGGGAACCGCTCGGTGCATTTCAAGTACTGCGGGGGCGAGCGGCCCGACAGCCGCCGGCCCTGCAACCGCCTGCCCTGCCCGGCCCAGTGGAAGCCCGGGCCATGGTCTGAGGTGGGCAAGCAGCGACCACGAGTAACTAGCCCACCTTTGCTAACACCCCCTGCCTCCCCCAGCCAGGTCTGTGCCGGGGCTTAAGGCTCCAGGCTGCACCAGACAGTTTTCCAGACCCTGAAAATCTGCCGCAGATAACGCCTCGCAGCTCCTGTACCTCTCCAGACTTCAGAAAGCAGCAAAAAAAATACAATATCAGATACACAGTCCCTCAAAACACACATTGATGTTTCATTTGGGTTTTCTCCCAAGTTTCCAACTTCTCACTTCCCCACGTAACATTTTTTTACCAATTCAGACTGGTTTGCAGTCACAGAGTTTCTGCAAGTGTTGAATATTGCTGTAATACCTTAGGAACAAACAGCTGAACCCTACTGAGTCAGTGAGTTTTTTCTGCCCTTTGCATTATCCTTATGTTACCTCGTCAAGATCAGGTGTCGGCTATGGGAAGAATAAGTAGGAAAATTCATAATATGCCCTAATAATAAATTTAACATTACGGAATGCAAAAAACAAGGAAAATACCACCCTTCCCCTTTGCATATTCCTCCAGAACTGCAGTCTGCTTTCAAAGCACATGGCTGGAATGTACAGCCTGACCTGAAAGCCAACCCTGGGCTTTTTTTAGAGGCGTTAATTTTGGGTGGTTGGTGTGAAAGCTGCCTGTGCTGAATGGCCATGTCTGTGTTCCACAGTGCTCGGTGACGTGCGGGGAGGGGACGGAGAGCCGGCACATCTCCTGCCGCGCCGGAGACCACTGCCAGGGGGAGAAGCCCGACGCCGTGAGGGTTTGTAAACTGGCCCCCTGTAACGGTAAGAGATCCTCAGGAAATCACCCCGGGGATACAGGGATAAGGATTCCCACCTCCCTGCAGCACGTGGAGGTCACACAGTGCTGGGGAGAGATGTTAGACACAGATTTCATCCCTGAGAGATAAAAAGGTCTAAATAAGAGCTGAATTTTCTGTGTTAAGGTGGGCAGGTTTCTAAGAGAAGGCAGGGCTTACAGCCAGGTGCTGCGCACACCACACTTGTCCTGTGCTGTATTTTAAAGGTGTGACACTGCCAGGTGACAACCACATGGCACCCATCGCCCCTTCCAGGCCAGAAAATACACCCCCCTTAGAGATTTTCCCACTTTTTTCCAGCTAAATCCACCCTGTTGTTTAGTCCAGCACATTATTGATACCATAGCTCCAGGGGAACTCTTGTAAATGCGCTGGAAAAAGGGTTTTAGATGTGTTAGCCCCAGTTGCATTTGCAGAAAATTTGTGCTAGAGGTGAAGGTCAATCCAAAGCAAACCCTGCTCGACCTCTACATCCCAGGGTAAGTTTTACAAGCCTGCCAGTTGAGGAAATGAAAAAAAAAAACCAACAACCCAACATAAAAATGGAACCACAGGGCATTAATAAGTTTCCTGGGAATCTAATTACATTACAATCTCCTAGAGCTTTTTGAACAGTTTTTTAAGCTTTTTACGACCACAAAGCCTTTCTCCCTTTGGGTCCGTGACTCTGTGAGATCTGGGGTTTATTTGCTTTTTAAATCCCCCACGGAAGTCCTAACCCTCAGATCACCAGCTGGCAGTAAAAACAGAGTCAGAGTTCTTAGAAGGTGCAGTGCCTTGTCCCACAGAGTGAACCCAGCGCCTGCCCACGAGGCTGGAAAAGGTTCTGCTCTTGCCCTGATTTATCTTCTGCCAGTGAAGGAACTGGGAGTGGAAAACAATTCTGGGAGCAGGGAAGAGTTATAGGGCGGTGTATCCACTAGGTGGGAGCAAATCACTGCCTCTGACTGTAAAATAAGGAGAAGATATAAAATCCCGTTTTCCACTGGCATTAAAAATATATTTTAAAAAATGGAAAATAAAAAAAAGGGCTGCATCTTTGCAAAACTCAGCCATGCTCCCTTGAGCTCAAACCTCAGCCCCGCTCAGGGCTTTGGGCCATAGCTTTGACCAAGCAGTCAGCAGCTGACGGTGCTATTTCAAATAATCTCTCTTTTTCACCACGTTTTCTGCTGTGGCTTGTAGAAGTCCTGCATTTTGGGGGAATAGAGCTAAAATACCCATAGTGTTCTCTAATGTTTATGTAGATAAACTCGTTATGCCTGGTCATGCTTGGCATTCCTTTGCTTTTAAGTCTGTATGGTCTGGATTTCTATTTTTATTTTCAGGGCTTTAGACTTAGCTAAACATTAGCCTGTATCAGGTGGTGTTGACAAATGATTTACTGTCTAAATGCAAGATTGCTGAGGGTTTAATTTTAACGGAGTGTCATCATGAAAAACCATATGTCTGCACACAGGAGAAGAGCTCTTCCACCGTGTGTGCAGTGGAGCTGAGTCTCATAGTGTGGGAAATGGGGACATCTCCCATAGATATCTATCTATCTCAAACTTTATATGTCTCTGTGATTAGAAGGAAACAGGAGGCAGGATTTTATCCTGCAGTATTTTCCCTGCAATCCATAGCAATGATCTGAGCAGCCATCGTGTTTCTGGGGCTGGGTCTGATGAGAAAAATGAATTTTCTGGTACTTAGCCAAATAGATGAGCTCTATGCAACAACCTCTATAGAACAGACCCTTAAAAAGCCTTTATACATCCCTGCTTTGCAACACAAGGTATAGAAAGAAGAAGAAAGAATGTGTTGTTTTAAATTTTAGTCCCTAAACACCAACTTTGAGTGAGGTTTCTCAATGGGATGCTGTCGGCAAGGAGTGTACTTAGAGTTGCAGTGATGCTTCCTGTGAGAGCTGTGTCAATCCTCAAATCTAACGTGAAAATTAGGTTCTCTTAGCTTCATCTTCTGGAGATGCCCTAGGGAGCCCATCCGCTTTCTTGTGTCTTCCTACTCTCAGCCACCGCCAAGCAAGTAACAGATTGTGAGAAGGAGAATTTTTACCGTCAACATCAGCGGAAGGACACGAGCACTTACATTCTGACTAGGAAGTGGTTCACTAGGTTGTGCAGAATTAACCTAAAAAATAAAAAATGGGGATTATGTGAGTATACAGCTCCGAGATTGTACTTGTGGAACCTACTGGAAGTAGATAAGTACAAAACCAAATCTTTGCACTATCACTTGAGTCACGAAATCTAAACCAATATTAAAAAAAATTAACCATCAGAGGAAAAAGACCAAATAAGATGCTTTGACACTATGGAAAGGTAAAAATAATTGTTTGGTACTTTCTTTTTTGATTTGTCACTTTAGCCAAATAAGATGCTTTGACACTATGGAAAGGCAAAAGTAATTGTTTGGTACTTTCTTTTTTGATTGTGATACTTTTTTGCTTTGACTCATACACTGACATAAATCACAGCATGTTAACAAGATGACTGCCACAAATTTTCCATATCATATGCTTCCATTTACATGGAAGGCTAAAGACTGCCCTACATACGATGCAAAGATTTGTGTTTCAATATTAGCTTTTCTAGGTTAGATGAATTATAAATATAGCCCTTGAATTGCTCGTGCTGAACCCCTGCTGAAAATAGTCCCATAGTGCCTTCCTGCAGTCGTGTGCTCCCCTGCAAAGCTGCAGAGTTAATGCTGGGGTTGTTGAGAGCCAACAAACGTCCACCCAAGGAAGCACGTCGGGATTGGGAGCGAGGAAAACTTTTATATTACGCGTATTTACACCACAGCCCTATAATTTGCTATTTATAAACAAAGTTCCACAACCCCCCAGAGGTAGGTGTGTGTAATTTTCCTGAGTTGGGTGGAATTAAGCTGGTTTACGCTGATGGAGAGGTTGGGCTACAGTTAATTATACTTCAAAATAGGGAAATTTGGGTGCCTGACGTGCTGTTGACGTGTGGTGAGGCCACATCTGCACACAGGTGAGGAAATACCACCACGCAGAAAGCTAATTTAATTTCAGAGCTTAATGAGTGGAGTTACAGCCCATCAGTTGCTCATTAACACGTTGACTACGTAATTGCTAACTATGAGTGGAGGATGAGGCATGGAGCAGATCTTCTCAATAGCTGGGGTTAACTTTTGGCTTTTCGCATGATAATTTTGCATTCTTCTATTTTAAGTGAAATCCACCATTTCCAGCCAGCCCAGGGCTATGTTAGGAAAATTCTGCTAATGGAAACTTTTTGCTGGTCTCTCCTTGAAGTGTTTGAGTAGTTACAGGTGTATGGAGCTCCTCATCTGTCCCCACTGCTGGTGTGATGTCCTGTGTGGTGTTATTATCTGTAGGTTCCTGGTCTGGAGGGCCTTAGTCCCCGTGTAGGAGACTGAGGGGACACACAGATGCCCCATGTTTCTCAAGAGTCCTCCATGGTTGGGCTGGAACATGAGGCTCAAACACGTGGTCTGTTCTGAAGGTCCCTGTAGACGTCTGTGGGAAGGTGACTGCCCCCCTTACAGATGGGTTAGACACAGGGAAGAGATGATAAGGAAGTATTAAATCTCCTCATTTAAAAATCTGCAAATAATGCAGCTCATTTGATCTCATGTTTCTCAAGAGTCCTCCATGGTTGGGCTGGAAAGTGAGGCTCAAACACATGGTCTGTTCTGAAGGTCCCTGTAGATGTCTGTGGGAAGGTGACTGCCCCCCTTACAGATGGGTTAGACACAGGGAAGAGATGATAAGGAAGTGTTAAATCTCCTCATTTAAATATCTGCAAATAATGCAGCTCATTTGATATAATCATTGAATTGTTTTTGGTGTGATGTCCTGTGTGGTGTTATTATCTGTAGGTTCCTGGTCTGGAGGGCCTTAGTCCCCGTGTAGGAGACTGAGGGGACACACAGATGCCCCATGTTTCTCAAGAGTCCTCCATGGTTGGGCTGGAACATGAGGCTCAAACACGTGGTCTGTTCTGAAGGTCCCTGTAGACGTCTGTGGGAAGGTGACTGCCCCCCTTACAGATGGGTTAGACACAGGGAAGAGATGATAAGGAAGTATTAAATCTCCTCATTTAAAAATCTGCAAATAATGCAGCTCATTTGATCTAATCATGGAATTGTCCAGGTTGGAAGGGACCTTTCAGATCATTCAGTCCAACCATCAACCCAACACTGACAAACCCATCACTAACCCATGTCCCTCAGCACCACGTCTGCCCGGCTTTTAAATCCCTCCAGGGATGGGGACTCCACCACTGCCCTGGGCAGCCTGGTCCAGTGTTACAAACTCTCAGTGTTTGTCCCAGTCTGGTAACAGTTAAACCTAGGACTTCACTTTTGAGCTCCCTTGATGGTCTGAAGGATCCCCAGTACTGATGTGCTCTTTGCTCAATATCAAAGCCTTATTTTTCTTCCAACTTGCACTTCTGCTTTCCTCTCCACCAGTTTTGTCCATGACCACTGCATCTCTGGTGGTGGAACAAACATCCAGCAAATACTCCAAGAAACATTGACATTTTGGGGGTCTCTAATAGGTCTTTGACCTAAGATCTCCCTGACTAAAAGGAATGTCACACGCCCTCATTTAAAAATCTGCAAATAATGCAGCTCATTTGATCTAATCATGGAATTGTCCAGGTTGGAAGGGACCTTTCAGATCATTCAGTCCAACCATCAACCCAACACTGACAAACCCATCACTAACCCATGTCCCTCAGCACCACGTCTGCCCGGCTTTTAAATCCCTCCAGGGATGGGGACTCCACCACTGCCCTGGGCAGCCTGGTCCAGTGTTACAAACTCTCAGTGTTTGTCCCAGTCTGGTAACAGTTAAACCTAGGACTTCACTTTTGAGCTCCCTTGATGGTCTGAAGGATCCCCAGTACTGATGGGTAACAGTGAAACCTAGGACTTCACGTTTGAGCTCCCATGATGGTCTGAAGGAGCCCCAGTACTGATATGCTCTTTGCTCAATATCAAAGCCTTATTTTTCTTCCAACTTCTTGCGCTTCTGCTTTCCTCTCTACCAGTTTTGTCCATGACCACTGCATCTCTGGTGGTGGAACAAACATCCAGCAAATACTCTGAGAAACGTTGATGTTTTGGAGGGCTCTAATAGGTCTTTGACCTCTCTAAGATCTCCCTGACCAAAAGGAATGTTACATGTTTAACTTGAAGGCATCTTACATCTGTCCTACCTGTTAGAAGCTGTCCATCAGTTCTCCAGTTACGGTTAGGTCACTGAGACTTCATCCCAACAAAACTTTATCCAACTATGACATTTTTATTTTAAGAAAGACATCTTTGAGAGATGTTGCTTGGGATTTAATTTCTTGAAGGGAAGATTTTATTGTTCTTAATACTGTTGATAGATAATGATAGATAATATCCTCAGGCTAGACGTAAAGGTGATTTGTGGTGGGAACTCTAGTAGGTTGGCACTGGAAATTGGTGGCTGTGGCCCTCTACAAATATATCATGCCTTGGCACAACTCTTGGCTTCTGATGTGAGGAGAAACTTTTTGGTTCTCCAATTTCTTTGGTTCCCAGCCAGGGTTATTTTTCAGGGTTTTTTTGGGGGGCTGAAGCATCTCAGGTTGCTTATTCCCAGTAGCCCATGGTTTATGAAACGTAGGTAGAACTTTCTCAGTGTCCACCTAAACGCTGCCCAGGGCATTTCAGTGCTGTTCACTCTGTTTACAGCCATCTTTACGTTTGTTTTGCAGATGAGCCCTGCATGGGAGATAAATCTATCTTCTGTCAGATGGAGGTGCTTGCCCGTTACTGTTCCATCCCTGGCTACAACAAGCTGTGCTGCGAGTCCTGCAGCAAGCGCAGCAGCACCCTCCCGCCCCCCTTCCTCACCCAAGCGGCCGAGACCGCCGAGGACGTGATGTTTGATGAGGGTGACCTGCCCAGGGCTCTGATGATGCCCACACCCCTAGTGCCCCACTCCGCACAGCTCCTGCCTGGAAGAAGTTCTCCAGGCAGGCTGGCTGAAGAGGATGCCCATACACATGTCTCCCCGTCCAACACCAAGCCCAAAGGTGCTGAGTTTCCACAATGGAGAGCTCCTCAAGCGAGGAAGACTTCTAGGCTGTTTGCTTGGCTGCACCAGTCACCTTCCAACAGCAGTGGTCTTGGTCCTCATGGTGCCCTGGCCTTGGCAGCAGCTTTTCCCGTGGTGCCAGCTGATAAAACCACAGCGGGTCCTCCTTCCCCACCGAGATCCTCCAGGAAGAGCGAGAAGCACCTTGAGAAGAGGTGGCCTTCGAGGTCCTCCACTGTGGAAAGATGAAGGCCTCGTGGAGGAAAGTCATTGAAAGAGGCTTTGTTTTGGCGCTTTTGGGTTTAATTTCCTTACTTCTGGACACTATGGTGCGTGCTGCTTTCCACAAGCAGGACCCTGCAGGTCATCCACTCGTTGTTCCTTGTAAATACGACGAAGGAGAAGTGCTGGTTCACTTTCTAGTCGCTCCCGTCCTCCTCCCGTGCTGTGTTACCTGCCTGGCTTGAGACAGCCACGTAGGAAAGCACCAAAGAGCATCCCAAACCACGAGCAGAAGTCGCCGAGGGCATCACTCAGGCCCTGACCTCATTATTTTTTGGTTTTTAACACTCAACACACAGAAAACACCCCACGACAAGAGGTACCAGACGTTTACACTAGACAAAATACTTTTTTTTTTTTTTGCAGTGGAACAACTGAACCCATAGGACTTGTTTTGCTAATTTATCTATATAAACGGATATTGTATGAGCAAATTTGCAGCTGTTGTGTAAATACTGTATATTGCAGAAAATCAGTATTATTTTTAAGAGGTTTTTTTTTTTGTGCTGTCAGACAACTGTTTACCTACATCGCGTTCTGGACAAGTAGAGGTGCCTGCCATCCAGTACTGCCTTACTGACATTCCAAGAGTTGATTTTTAATTTTATTTTTTTTTTAAAAGCAGCATTATCATAAAAGGAGGAGTTCCATTTCCACATGCCATCTGCTGACACCAGGAAAAGGAGTTGGGGGTTTTCTTTTTTAGTATCAACAACGTGATGCTTTCTTTTGAAATAGGGGTGGGGAAAAAATTGTAAACCT